ATATTGGCGTCATTGCACGCGACCTTCGCTACCTCCCGTTCATCAAGCGCTCTATCACCGAAGAAGCCGTGGGTGCCTTTATGCGCCACCATTGCCATGGTCCTGTTCAACGCTATGAGTTACCCGGCCTGAACGCCTTCAACTTTGTCTTGACGCACTCTCTCGGTGGTGGCGGCATCACTTCGATGATTGTCGATCGCCAAGGCAAAGCCTTTGCCCAATTGATTCTCTCTGGTCTCTACGTCGAACTGCCAGCCAGCCTTGTTCCTCAAGATCCTGCCAAACTATGATAATAAAACTGTGTCTCTCCTCTCTCCTTTTTCTTAGCCATCTCGTCACGTTCTTGGGCAATCGTTTTTATTCATATTTGGAGACAGGGAGAGTGACACGGAGGTTAGCAACTGTGTTCACGTGTGTGGTATAGTTTGGGTTGAAAGGAAATGTGTGGATGAGTAGGGCGTTGGAAAACACAGCACTAGGACGAACGATCGGCTGACTTGTGGCCAGAGCTGGGAAGGACAGACGATGTCAAGGTGGCATTGATAGGATTATCGGGCGTCATGACGGCGGTGTGGAACTGGCTCCACAAATAAGCAGGTGCCTCAAATTCGTTGCCAATGGTGTTGATAGTTTCCAAGTTACGATTCAGATGATTGAGATTGGTGACCAGTTGATCCAGCCCTTGCGTCACCTTTTCCAATAGCTTTGCATGATCCACCTCAAACTGCGAAGACATGATTTTTGAAAAGAAACCAAAAAAAAAAAAAAAAGCGGTTGGTGAGTTTTGTTCGACTCTGTTTTGTTTTTTTTCGCACTTTTTTCTTCGACTTGTTTTTCTCTTCTGTATAGAATGGCAAGTAACAAACGTGTCAAAGGTCTCATTGTGTCTCGACCTATTTATTATGGTAACATCGCCACCCCAATCACAGGCAAGAAGCCAGCCAATCCTGATCACACTCACCGCTGGACCGTCATGGTAAAAGGCCTGAACAACGAAGATCTTAGCTACTACATTCGCAAAGTCGTCTTCAAGCTACACGAAACATACCCCAATCCTCTTCGATGTAAGTCTCTTTTTTTCCACCATGAACCTTGCTCATTGTGAAGAAATTCGCAGCAGCAATAAGCATTGTCTTACCTATTCACTTCCTGTAGCCATCGAACAGCCTCCATTTGAACTGACAGAGACTGGCTGGGGTGAATTCGAAATCATGATCAAGATCCACTTCCAACCCATCACCAGCGAAAAGCCTGTCACCCTGTACCATCACTTGCGATTGCATCCCTTTGAAGATGATCTCCAAGGTCAGCCCTGGCCCAAAGACAAGCCTGTCCTCAGCTTACTCTATGATGAATTGGTACGTGCTCTGTGGATGTTTCCCCACGCCTCTTTATTGAATACTTTTTTTTTTTACTTGCTAGGTCTTCAACGAACCCACCGAAGCCTTCCGAGAAGTGCTAGTCAAGAACAATGCCATGCAGCCCAACTTGCCAACGAAAAAACCCGCCAGCAAAGATCCCTCCACCCCCGAGTTTAGCGAGCAGTTGGAAAAGGAAGAGCTGGAGCGCCTGGATAATGCGCAAAAGGAAGTCAATGCTGAAATCATCCGACTGAAGCAGAGGATGGCCGCCCTCGACAACGAATAGATCCACCCACCTCGATTTCCTGTGGTTGGAAAATAAAAAAAAAATACCCCTCATCCCCTTTAGGATAATCAACCATGGTAAAGCCATGGTGGTAAAGCCATGGTGGTAATGCCAATGGTAATGCCAATGGTAATGCCAATGGTAATGCCAATGGTAATGCCAATGGTGGTAATGCCAATGGTGGTAATGCCAATGGTGGTAATGCCAATGGTGGCAATGCCACCATGGACCATGAAATTACAAACATGGAATCACCAGCATCGAACTACCTTGGACTGTGAGTTTTGACTGAATGCTTTTATTGTTTCATGAGTTTTAACTGAATGCTTTTTTGTTTCATGATGTGGGGTGGGGTAATATTACAAAGAAAAAATGAATGAGCAGCGAAGCGTTTAGTTGTGTGTAGCATCTCGCCAGGAAGTCAAGGTCCTGGGAATTCGTTTCCAGGTTGAGGGCTTGAGAATGGACACACCTTCTAGAGGATCTAAGCGTTTGCGTTCGTCCAGTTCCATGGTGTGACTTTGTGGATAAAAAAAAAAGTAAGCCTCGCTTGTTCTCATTAAAGATGTAAAAGTCTTTTTACCGAATGATTTCTTCACGACCGCTGTCCAAATCGATTTCTTCCAAGGGGATAATGGCAGAGAAAAGACCCTCACGTTTCCAGAGCTTGTAGCCAAAGTAGAACAAAAAGAACACGGGAATACCGATGTAGCAGGCAATGATGTCCGAGGCAGAGATGGGGTCAGCAAACCAGGAGTTGTAGCCTTGGCCAACCAGTACAAACAAGCACACAAGAAAGGTAAAGATGGGGCCAAAGGGGAACCAGCGAGCCTTGAAGGGCAGCTCATCCTCACGGCGATTTTGGGCACGGTAGGCAAGACGGAAACGCCAGTGAGCAGCAGCAATACCTAACCAGGCAATCAGACCAGCCACGCCACTGATGTTCACCAACCAAAGCTGTAAAAAAAAAAAAAAAAATAGCAGGTGAGCTTCGATTTCCTAACACCTCCTTCGGGTGTGCTCAAAGAGACAAGCTTACGTAGACTAAGAAATGGAAACATGAGCCAAGTTAGTGATTTGCTGAAGAGATTTTTTTTCCAATCACTTACCGACGCCATTGCCGAACAAGGAAGTCAGGAAGGCCAACATGCCGATGGCGGAGGTCAAAAGGACACAGTAGATGGGCACACCAAAGCGAGTCAGTTTGGAGAAGACATGAGGAGCTTTGCGCTCATTGGCCAGATCGAACAAGGTGCGGCTGGAAGCATACAAACCAGAGTTACCAGCAGACAGCACAGTGGTCAAGATCACGGCATTCATGAAATGGGCGGCGCCGTCGAGACCAGCCTTTTTGAACACAAGCGTAAAAGGTGACACGGACACGTCGGAAATGCTGCTCTTGAGCAAATCGGGATCATCATAAGGTACAATCAGACCCACAATGAACATGGACAAGATGTAAAACAGCAGGATACGCCAAAATACCTAGAAATAAAGTAGATGAGTGCCTGGAAAAAACTTTTTTTAGCATTACTTGTTTAATGGCACGTGGCACGTTGCGAGAGGGATTTTCAGATTCACCGGCGGCCACACCAATCAACTCGGTGCCTTGGAAGGAGAAACTGGCAGTCAAAAAGGTAGGCAGGATCCCAGCAGCTTGGATACCGCCATAACGGAAAGTATCCAAACCAATGTAAACGCCGCCAAGCACACCAGTATCGACAAGGATACCCAGCAGCACAAAGATAAGCACCACGAGCACCTTGATCATTGCAAACCAATATCTAATGGACGTTGAGAGTGTGAGAACATTTGACTTTTTTTGTGATATGCAAAAATTACTCGGCTTCACCATAGCCCTTGACGGAGAAGACATTCAAGGACATGACAAAGAGCAAGAAGATGATAGACCAGACATAGTTTGGCACGTGAGGGAGCCAATATCTAATTGGAAAGTAAACGGGATCAGCCAAAAGTAAAAGATATACCGGCTCATTCAAACTTACTCCATGACCATGCCACCAGCAACTAACTCGACAGCTAATGTGACACTCCAGTTGTAAAAATAATTCCAACCCAAGGCAAAGCCTAAAGCAGGTTCAATGAATCGACCGGCGTAGTTGTTGAAACTGCCAGAGATCGGGAGATAAGTAGCCATTTCACCCAAGGATTCCATCATAAAAAACACCATGATACCAATCAAACCATAAGCAATCAAGGCACCACCAGGACCAGCTTGACTGATGGACGACCCACTAGCCAGAAATAGCCTATTTTGGAGGAAGAAAAAAGGTGCGTCAGTGCTTTGAGCCGAAAGGTTTCTATTTTTTTTTTTTTTTTTTTTTTTTACCCAGTGCCAATGGTTCCACCCAAAGAAATAAATACAAGGTGGCGTGACTTTAAGTGACGCTGTAATTTTGGCTTGGTTGAAGGAGAAGGATCAGTGGGATCTTGCATGTAGAATGAGGAAGAGGAGGCGGCGGTATGAACTTCTGTGATATCTTCTTTAAAAGTGTCGAGCTTTACTGATTCAGGTTTCTGAATGGAGGTGGTTGACATGCGTCCGCTATTTCTTGATCGGATGTCATCCGCTATCCTCTTATTACCCATTTTGAGTTCTGACGATTAAAAATAAAATGGAAAAGAAAAGAAAAAAAATTTTCCCAGTGGGCTGCCGTAGAAATACCCACCTTTTTTCATTTTCGAGCTCCTGCTTGATTTCTTTCCATTTACGATTTTGCATGAATTAAAGAATTAAAAAAAAAGAAGAACAATGGATCTATTTCATTTTATTTGATCGAAACTCTCTACCAAAACATGAACGCTGAGCAGATCAAACAAACCACTTCATCTAGTCTCCCTTTCCTTTTTGCTTTCCCTGTCATCTTGTGAAAGATCGAAAACCTTATCATAACCAAGAAAGGAAATTGTTTCGAGATGATGCTGAGATGATGGAGGGGAAATTTGGAAGACTCACCAAACCTATTTTTTGATTTTCTCATCTTCTCCCGGATCCATCGACGTACAAACCTCTTCGCCACACATTTCCCACGGACGTATTTCCAAGAAAAGAAAAGAAAACATAGTTAAAAGAGGTCCAGGGAAAAAAGAACCGTCAGAACGGGGCTAATCTAGACATGGCTGACGTCGCCCTTCTTGCAGAAAGGTCCTGAGACTGACCTTGGGCAAGAAAGGTGTAGTCTAGGTTTTCCAATTGGAGCTCGCTCCACCCAACAATAAGGAAAAAACAAAGGCGCAGCTCCGGCAAAAAATCCATCAAAAAAAAAAAACCAGCAGGTTTTTTTTGGATCCAGCCAAGCCAAAATGAAAAAATGACAAAAAGAAAAAGGTAATCCACCAAACCTGATTCGAACAGATGACCTAGAGATGTCAGGGTTAACCATCTTGATTGGATGGATGCTACTACAGTCTCCCGCTCTACCAACTGAGCTATTGGTGGTTGATGAACACCAAATCAGCCTGTGCTACACGAAATTTCCGCGGTAGTTCGGCCGCCGTAACGGGCGCATGTTTTACCGAAGACATTGGCCAATCAATCCAAATGAGCATCTTGAATTGGAAGCAATCCTCTAGTGCCACAATGGCGGTGTTCGATGCTGGAGAACTTTGGATTGTAAACTGATACTTGCCATAAAAGGCAAGTCAATGCCATGTTGCGCTGGAAGAGACTGGTACTCATCATTGCTGCTTATCGCTGTCACTCACCTGCTTACTTTTGTTTATGACGATTCGTGAATTGGTGCGTATTGGTGAGCTTTTTTTTTTTTTATCATGCCATCATGCGTTGGCGCACAGCTGTGCATCGGATCGCCTGTCATTTTTCACCTAAGGATTTTTATGGGGTGTCAAAACTAAACCCTGAAAAGTTAACTGGTTGGCCACCACTGATCAGTCAGTTTTTTTTCAGAATCATCCTCATTCATGAGTTTGTGCTCACCTGTCAAACATCACACCATTTCCTCAGCTCAAAGATTCCGTATATCTTGTTATTATTTTTTGTCAGAAAGACTAGACTTGTCTGGCTAGCTGGCTGCATTTTTTTTTTTTTTTGGGATGTTTCTCCTACTTCACCAAAACGGCTGAGAGGACTGAGGTTGTCGTTAGAGCCATAACCCACCAAATTTTACTGTTATGCAAAATTTGGCAACATCTGGTGACTGTCAGGTTTCTGTGGATTGCCCAACGCATTCAAAGAGAGCCACCCAGCCAATGATGCACGTCTGTCTTCTCCCTTTCCAAAAAAAAAAAAATTGCCAGGCGTGTCTAATTCCGACATCACCACCTTTTTTGCTTGCGTCCAGTGACCAAACGACATCACCATCGACGTGGGCAAGTTAGATGGAAAGAAGAATGCTTTTTATTGAGAAAGGGTGATAGAAAAAAAGGGTCGAGGTTGGTATGAATTATGCAAATTTGACAGATTTCTTTGTAGCCTACGAGGTGAAAGGAAAGACAAAAAAAAAGGGTGAATTTGTTTTCTTCAGGTTGCCATGCTTCAGGCTTACGCTCTTTATAGCTTTAGCTATTTTTTCTTTCTTCATCTTCTTGCTTTCTCGTTTCTTCTCTCGCTGTTTTTCGATAAATCGTTGCTTGGCATCCTCCTAAAATCAATCAAAACAGTGGAAGTGAGCTTTCTGGCTGCCTCAGGGGAGCTCCTTTTTTTTTTGCCAATCCACTTGCCAGCTTTTGTTTCTTCTTGTCGACCTTGTCTTGCTTCTTTTTTTCACGCGCATCTATTAATTCTTCAACAGCCATCTAGAAATTAAAATATTTAAAGTGAGTTCCTTTGTTCGTTCTCGTCGCCATTCCATGTTCCATGCCTAGCTCCTCCATGCCCAGTCACCAGCCAGTCGTTGTTTAGTCAACGAGTTCTTGTCTGGTCACCCGCTAGCTGTTGTCCAGCATATCAATCCTTTTACCTTTTTAGCCAGTCGTTCTTCTTCCTTTTGGGAGATTTTGTCGGCGGCTTGGTCAATGATAGCAAACATATTGTCCTATAACATGGCCAACACACCACGATGAAACGTACAAGATAAAGGAAAGGTCAGTCAGGGCTTTCTTTCTCGTTCTGTATGGAGAGATCATACCTTGCTGGCATATTTTGGATTGTCGAGTTCTGATGTGCCTTTGACTCGTTTTTGTTTGGTCTTCTTGATCGCAGATCTCTTTGGTGTGATCTAAAAAAAAAAAAAGGGAGAGGAAGTGAGTGACAGTATGGGTGGGCTTTTCCTTCTTCATTCTTTGTTGATCATAGTGAAATACTAAACGGTATCTATGCCAGTTAGCTTACTTTGTCTTTAGGCATTGTGTCAATGGAAAGGGGAAAAAAAGGGAAAAGAGAAGAAAAGGCGGGTCAGCCAGCTCTTCTTTTCCACGAAACCTTTTTTTTTTTTTTTTTTTTTTTTTACAGCATAGCTAGCCCTCATGTTTCGTTTGCTTGGCCGTCGACAGCCATTATTTTTTTTAAGAAATAAGACGAGTCCATCATCACTGGTGCACCTTCCTCGACGACATTACATTCGACCTTATTATGATCGATCATCAGTACAAAAGCACCAGTCGTCCTTGCCAGAGGTGCTTGGTCGAAAAGTGAACGCCATGGATCCGAACAAGGTACTGTGGGGTGTGATTGGCACCAACGTTGCAATCTATGGTGTGTGGCAATACGGCATCAGTAATTACCGGCAGTTTGGTGATCCCGGTTGTCTCCAGTTTATGCTGCGTCACTTTATGAATTCACCTGAAGCTTGGCAAAACGGGCGATGGCACACCCTGCTGACCTCGGCCTTTTCTCACAAGGATCTCGACCACCTGGGCATCAATATGCTGGTGCTGTATTCCATGGGCCAAGGGGTGCTGCAGGCCATTGGGAATTCGCGTTTTTTGTTATTATATGCTGGTGCTGGGGTTGCTGGGTCGTTGGCGACAATTTTTTACCGAAAGTATATTCGTCCCTCTCTCGAGAGGAGCCGAGGCCGACATGCCCTTGACAATCCTACCATGGGCTCCCTGGGTGCTTCCGGCTCGGTGATGGGTCTGACTACCTTTTTTGCCTGTGCCTGTAAGTGGAGGCTCACGCCCGTCTTGCTCTAGCTGACCTGGGGTTTTTTTTGCCAGTTCCTCGAGCCACGTTTCTTGTGTTTTTTGTAATTCCTATGCCAGCCATCGGTAAGTCATAACGTAGAAAAACTAAAAGCTAATACTTTCCTTTTTATTTAGGTGTGGTGGGTCTCTTTGCAGCTTATGACATTTACAAGGCTACGACGCTCAACGTAAGTTTCACGCTCAGCATGGACAAGCCATTTCTGTGCAACTCACCGATCGTCTTCATTTTAGACTGGGCTTGTGGACAGTGCCGCCCATGTGGGTGGAATAGCTTATGGGGCCGCCTATTACTTTATGCGTATCCGGCCCTTATTACGAAAAGGACGCTGGCGAATGTAATAAAGTAGACGATTGACTTTTTGTCATCCAATCGGCAATCACGTGCAGTCCGGCCCGGCAGCTTCCCCAATCCTAAAAAAAAAAAAAAAGTAAAAAAGTTGGGTCAGCATTTTTTTTCTCTTTCTTTCCTTTTTGTTACAACGCTCATAAACAAAACACGCCATGGATTCATTAATCTCGTATGCTGTCCCTGCTTTCTTCGTAGCCGGGTCTGTCTTTTACTTTTTGAACAAGAAGAGTAAGTGCGAAGGAGTACCTGATGAACGGATGGACCACACGATAAATAGGAGGTGGCATGTCAAAAAAGAACTGGACGCTCATCTGTCTTTTGATAGAACCTGTGTTGGATCCCAAGGAATATAAAAAGTTTAAGCTTATTGAGAAGATTGTCATTTCCCACAACACTGCCATGTAAGAGGGAATCCATGTGTTGGAAAAGGTCACCTCATATATTGTTTTTTTCGTTCCTCACCTTAGTTACCGATTTGGTCTTCCCGGTAAAGATTCCGTCTTGGGCTTGCCCATTGGTCAACATATCTCTGTGATGGCCGAAATCAACGGCAAGCAAATCTCCAGAAGCTACACACCCACCAGCGCCGACGAAGATACTGGTCACTTTGACTTGCTGATCAAGGTAAATAACCAAAGGGAAGCGCAAGACAGTCCAAGTTGACACCTTTCAACTTAGTCCTATCCCACTGGTAACATTTCCAAGCTCTTTGGTGAACTCAAGGTTGGTGATAGCATGTCGATTCGCGGCCCCAAGGGTAACTTCAACTACACCCCCAACCTCGTTCGTCATATCGGCATGATTGCTGGTGGTACTGGCATTACCCCCATGCTCCAAGTAAGAAGAGAGCCCATTTAAAGCCAGGTGTCCAACTCTTTTTTTTTTTTTTCCCAGGTCATCCGAGCTATTCTTCGCAACCCTGAAGACAAGACCAAGGTCAACTTGATTTTCGCCAACGTGAATGAAGAAGACATCTTGCTGCGAAAGGAATTGGATGAATTATCTGCCAAGCATGCCAACTTCAACGTCAAGTATGTACTGAACAACCCTCCCGAAGGCTGGACAGGTGGCGTGGGCTTTGTCACTAAGGATATGATCAGCGAATTCTTGCCTGCCCCTGCCAATGATATCAAAGTCTTGCTGTGTGGTCCTCCTCCCATGATCACCGCCATGACCAAGGTAAAAAAAAAAGAAAAGTAAACGGGACCATCATCTGAACTGCGGTGTATTCTTGCTAGGCCACCAATGATCTGGGCTACGATAAACCCCGTGCCGTCAGCAAGTTAGAAGACCAAGTTTTTAAATTTTAATGTCGAGTTATTAAACCAGTGCTTTTTTTTTATACTTTACAATTTCACAAAGCCCACTATCCACACACTTCCTACTATGCTATCGTCCACTTCTATTTTTTATCAGCATCTTGGGAAGTGACCATTTTTTTATCAGCATCTTGGGAAGTGACCATTTAAAAAGGGGTTTGTGAGTCTCGCGTTTCTGTGTTTGAATTTTTTTCAAAAAAAGGTCTCCCCATGATTGAAGCTTTTGGTTACATTCTTTTCGTTTCAAAATGACAAACGAAGGAGGGGGCCACATTTGTCCCACATGTGCCAAGCCTTTTCAATATCCATCCCAACTGAAAACCCGCACGTATAATTACCACAGGCAAATAGTCAATGTCAAACTCGATGGACAAGGTTTGTTTGCTCGCGCATTTTTTTTTTTTTGATAAACCTTGCTCACCTGTCCTTATGGAAAACTCGATGCCTCCATCGGTGAACAGCGGCTTTCCCTGGACATCATAGGCAGCCTAGGCCTTCAACTTATTGCATTTATTGACATGGAAGGCATCGAGCAAAATGCGCTCGTCCATCGTCAATACGTTGAATCTCTTGTTGATACCTGTCCACCTCAGCCATTCAGATTGGAGCATGTGTCACTTGGCGAAAAACGGCCTCGAGATGATGACGATGACAGTAGATTGTCGC